GAGCCATGGCCACTGAGCCTGCGCGTCCGGAGCCTGTGCTCCGCAAATGGGAGAGGCCACAACAGTGAGAGGCCCGCATAACGCAAGGAAAAAAAAAAAAAAAATCATTAGCAGCTATAACTTTTATGCAATTCTGCATTTTAAAATGAAAACTCTCATTGCTAAGCCAGGGGCTAGGTTTTCGAAAAACAAAGCAGTGCTGTGTTTGGAATTCTGCTGATTCAAAATTAACCTGAGGAAATTTTTCAATTAAAAACAATCTTGACTTCAACTCTTTTTTTTTTTAAATAAATTTATTTATTTATTTATTTTGGCTGTGTTGGGTCTTCATTTCTGTGCGAGGGCTCTCTCCAGTTGTGGCGAGCGGGGGCCACTCTCTTCATCGTGTTGCACGGGGCTCTCACTGTCGCGGCCTCTCTTGTTGCGGAGCACAGGCTCCAGACGTGCAGGCTCAGTAGCTGTGGCTCACGGGCCCAGTTGCTCCGCGGCATGTGGGATCTTCCCAGACCAGGGCTCAAACCCATGTCCCCTGCATTGGCAGGCAGATTCTCAACCACTGCGCCACCAGGGAAGCCCCTGACTTCAACTCTTACATCTATGCCAAAGTTAAAAAAAATGTTTAAAGCATATAAAAGAACTCAACAATTATACCTAACAGTATATCTATATGTTTATATACTGGCAGCCTATATAGTCAGTACCTAGCACAAAGGAAGGATTACTTTGTCCCACAATTTTGTTTGGTTTTCTTTAATTCGAATTAGCTGCCAACATTTTAAAGATAGAGAAATTTCATATAAAAATTCATTATTTGGGTCTCTACTTGAAAAACAGATCTAGCTCCACTGGCCTGTATTTCTTCACTAGAGAGAGAGCTGAGCTGCATCTCCCTCACTGGGTCGGTTGGTCCTGTCCAGTCTGCTGTAGCCCCACCCATGCCAGTGAAACCAACGGTCAGCTGCATGGCATTCTGCTGATTTTATTTCTTATAGCAGTTAGTAAAAAAGTGAAATTTGAGTGTTTCCATTAAATATTTATTTTTTTAAAAAAGACCAAGAAAGATTTTGTTCTAATAAAGATAGGAGGGAACATATTTAATTATTCAAGTGAAGAACTAATGTTTTCAATATGCTGAGTATGTACATAAACAAAGATCCCATAATGAAACTAAACTCATGTAACTGGTTTCCCTCATTCAGCTTCCACGCCTGGCCAGGGTAGACGTTTGGGCTTGAAGCCTCTCTGCTCTAGCAATCAGACTGGACCTGGGTGACTGTTTTCTAAGATGGCAGAGAGGATTCATGTATATACTGAGTGAACATATATATTCATGTATATACCAAATGCTATATATATAGCACTACCATCTGATGATCTCTAAGGCCAAGTCTCCTGAGATTCTACACAGACGTATAAATTACATGAAAAAATATTTGGATGTTATAGCACTGTAATTTACCTTTACAAGGTTATTTGAAATTACACATTTATGTTTATGTGTTTTTCTTTATATTATTAGCTCCCTAGTCTATAAACTCCTTATGGGGAAGAACTATGTATGTTTTTCTCACCAATTCAATAATACTTCCTGAATAGATGGACAAAGGGAAACATGCCCAAAAGGTAAAATAAATTTATAAGGAAAAAATAAATGAAGAATACTAATAGGAAAGCCCAAGGGTAAAGGGTATTGAAGGCAAAAAGAGAGAATTTATTCTATTCAACTAGAAACTGTCAAAGAAGAATGAATTATCAATCTGGAAGCAAGTAAGCAGAAACACTCACTAATGGACCATTTCCAATTAGCTTGAGTCTTTACAGAACTAAATACTTTTCCATGACGTGGTAAAGAACTGCGCCAGAGTGTCACATGTGAGAAAAATAAAATAGACCAAGATACCCAAACTAATCAATGCTGGGTATGGCACTAAGTTTTACATTTGAAAGGCATGATCAAGTAGTGATAAATACAAGAAATTAATAACTGCAGGGTAACAGCGAAGCGAGACGGCTGAGCTCAAATTCTATCACCATTTTATTTTGTTATCTCCATATACTAACTCTGTAACCTTGGACAAGTGCTGTTAACCTCTCCATACCTTAATTTCCTCATCTATGAAATAGAGATAAAAACAACATATTTTGGGCTTCCCTGGTGGCGCAGTGGTTGAGAGTCCACCTGCCGATGCAGGGGACACGGGTTCGTGCCCCGGTCCGGGAAGATCCCACATGCCGCGGAGCGGCTGGGAGGTCACAACAGTGAGCGGCCCACGTACCGCAAAAAAACAAAACAAAACAAAAAAACATATTTCTCTTTGGATTGTTATGAAGCTAAATGAGAGAAAACACATGAAGTACTTAGAAGAGTCCTTGGACTTATAAGGACTCAATGTTAGCGATGATGATGTAATCACGACAAATTCCAATGGGACTGGTATCCTTATAGGAAGCAGGACGTGAGTCCCATTGGGTTAGGGTCCCATCCTTATGACCTCATTTAACCTTAATTACCCCCTTAAAGGCCTTATATCCCCCCAAAGCAGCATAAAGGTTAAGTAAAACTTACACTGAATCTTATATAAAATTTCACAAATTTATGCAAAATACCACCCAAACCACATACAATATATCAAAATAAGGCTAATGCATGTAAACTGCCACTGGATGCTGAAAAAACATACTTCCTCTATAATGGAAAAGTCAAAATGTGTTTACTCACTAATGGCAAAAACTATGTACTGATAAAGGTAACATTGACTGTAATTATTGTAATCATATCACATAATTAATAACTACTCACTGCATGCACAATTGTATTTTTATCTGGCAAACAGAGATGCGGCAATCATAACTAACTCTATTAAATATGTTATTAAAATAAAACTCTTTTACCTGCTGAAAAACATCTGTTCCCTCATCGTAGTCCACCATACTGAAGAAGAGTTTGTTACAAAAAGCAGAGGAATAGCGCCAGGAGTTAGCCAGTATTTGATATTCTTCGTTAGCCTGCCTGGTAAGGATAATGGGACAGAGAAGAAACGTTATCAGTATTGAAACATTAACAAAGCTATTAATAAAACAGGTAATTCTGGGACAAGAGTTGGCCTGTTTTAGTATGAACTGCAAGCTAAGAGTAGATTTTATAGTTTAAACGGAGGTAAAAAAATAAAAAGAATATTCCATGACATGTAAAAATTATACAGAATTCAAACTTTATCGTTTGTGAATAAAGCGTTACTGCATCACAGCCACACTGATTCCTTTACTTATTGCTATGTTTTCTATTACGCTACATAAGGGCAGAGTGGAGGAGTTCTAATAGAAAGCGTGTGGGCAAAAAAGCCCATCCTGACCCTTTAAATAAGAAGCCCGACAACTCTTATTACAGGGGATAAAATCATTTTGTGCCGCCTCCTATACATATAACTTAAATCTTCTGATGATTTTTAGTAACAGGCATAGAGCAATTTTTAAGAATTTTGGAATTCACTTTAACGGAGAAATAAAAATCATGGATATAGGTTTTAAAACTGTAAATACAGTTGTACTGCACCTTTATATATTCCATCTATCTAAAAATGCATTTACATTCACACCTAAAAGTAAGCAAAAATTTGAGTAGCTAAACCAAATGCCACAAACAAGCTCTTCTCTAAGAGCATATTTACTCCTATTTTGAATTTGTTTCTATTGGACATTTTGTTGATATGCCAGATACTAAAGCTCTATTTTTAGGTGAAGGCAGGGAGTAGAAATAAAGAAACGGTGTTGCTAGAAGGATGTAGGTATAGTCATCGAAAAAGAAGCAACAGTGATTACTAAAACTTTAATTTTAAAAAGCGAGAGAGGGGCTTCTTCCATACGGTTGACTATTCACAGGAGATCTGGGGAGTCTCTCCCAAAAGAAGTATAGATATAAAAAGGTATAACCCCACAGTCACAAAAAGACTCGGAGTGGAGTCAGCAGCAGATAAGAGATTTCAAGAACTATCTGGAAAACATAAGGCTAGTGGAAAAGTTTTGATGGAGGAAGTTACAATCTCAGAGAAGACTGCAGTACAAGGAGAAACTAGGAAAAATACTGGATTAGAAGCAGCAGAGATGCTGGCTCTGAGATTTCATCTTGCTAACGAGCTAGCCTATGATTGTTTCATGGATGCTGGCAGAAGCCATCAGACTCCTGGGTTAGAGACCTTATGGACTTTATTCTTCGTGTTTGTCTGCATCAGTTCCCCATGCCCCCAAGTTCATGGGGTGGCACAAAAGGCCCTTCCTGAATACCTGCACACACAGTTCACTGTGTTACAGGAGAGCCATACTGAGTTTGGAGGACTTACTGTTTTTATAGCACATGATGATAAACCCCATGCTTTGTTCAGTGAAACACATAATGTCACTCCTTAAGGCTTGTCACTGCACACACAACCCTTTGCATTCTTGGCATGCCCAGCAAGAACATGCAGGATCATCAAAGCCCATGGCAGGATGATCATACTGTTGCTTTTCCCAACAGTATTCACAAAAAAATAACAATGCCATATAAAAAAAAAAAAAGAGCAAGGAAAGTAAAAGAGCGAGCACTTGTAAAGAGAAAATGATTTCTCAAATTAAACACCAATATTAGTAGATAGAGTTAAATAAAATTCAAAGAACAAGAAGGACACAGGTGGACAATATTGGTGGGAGGAAGGAGAAAGGTACCTAGGCATATAATCCAATAAGCCCAATCTTCAAATAGAAGGAGCCCCCAAAAGAGAATAGACAAAGGAAATTTTCTGGAAACAAAAAGAAGATCCTAAAAACTTGCAGAAAAAAAAAAAAAAAAGTACTTAACAAAGGCAAACAATGAGACCGGGATTGGACTGGTTATTAGCAGCACTAGAGGCTGGCAGATAACAGAATAATTTCTTCAGAGTTTTGAGGGCATGTTATTTTCGATCTAGAATTGTAATATCAAGCCAAACGATTAAGTCTGAAATAAACACGTTTGAAGAAATGTAAGTCATATGAAATTACCTTAGGCTATAATTGATAGAAATGGTAAAAATGAGAGTGTGATAGAAGAACTGTAAGGAAGGTAAAAGGGCAACTAGAAATATGATGCAGTAGGAAAGGTGGAAGATGTGTAAGAAAGCTGTGATCCAACTACAACGCTATGAAATACAAATCAGGACAGGAATTTACTTGGACTTCAAGATGAAGAGAACCGACTGTAAGCAACCATTACAATTAGAAAGAGTGGCACGATGTCCAGACTATCGTTAAGGCACATGTGGTCCTGCGACAGGAAAAACAACAACAAAATGAATCTAAAAGGCAAGGTCCAAAGAAGAAGAAAATTTAAATGTATCATAATCTTGATTGCTAGGTGATGGGAAAAGGCAGTCATTTTGAACATTTTCTTTTGCGTCAGGGAGGGGGTCATAAACAACAGCACTGTGGAAAAGGAACCATAATAAAAACCTACTACTTTGCAAATGATGCTATTTCTGTAGAAACAATAAGTCAACCTACAGACAGAGCACAGATGTAATGATGGTTCAGTACAGAATGTAAGAGCTGTCAACTATGACAATACAGGATTGGTAGGTAAAAGGGAGGAAGAAGGTGTACTTGCTAGAGACATCACTTACACTTACGAGCAAGAAATAGAAGAGTGCTACTTACTGTGTACAATAATAAAAACTATAAAAGTGGTAAGGGGTGAGATGAGTTAAATCCTCACCTATTAGGGCCAGAAATGTAAAGATCAGGTCTACTGCATGAAATATATAAGACTAACATTTAGAGGTATGAAAAAAACACCAGAAGAAAAAAACACAAAGGAATAACAGTGATTGCCTGTGGCTAAGTCTGCAAATAAGTGAGTGCAAGGGCTAGGGACATTCTAGGCCCTTTTTTATTACCAAGGAGCACATAACAGTGCTATGATTAAAATATATTTAACTGGGCTAAATATGAACAAGGCTATAATCTGAGGTCACTTAGCATAAAGACCTTAAGGGCACGTTTTAAGAGAGCACAGTACAAAAACCGACCACCGTAAAGATCAGCCTGAGACTGCACTGTGCTCACTAGGCAGAAAACTATATTGTATACATTCTGAATCTGTTCAAATGAAATAATTACAAACTTTTAAAACTTTGGTGGTTAAATAAGATTTAACCTGAGCACCTAATAGCAAGAAGTGAGCTAATCTCCAAGGTCTCTGCTTTCATGGAGTTGACGTTTTAGTGAGGAGACATATAATAGACAACCAAATAAACAAATGAAAATCATTAAAAAGTAAGATATACACTGAGAAAAAAAATTACATGGACTTGTATTACAGAAAACAATGGAGAATCTACTCAGATGACGCGGTCAGAAAAGGCTTCTCAGATGAAGCGACACTAATGCTCAAATCCCAAGGATGAGAAAAAGCCATCGCTGAAAAGTGCTGGAGAACGGACATTTCGGGGAGCAGGAACAGCAAGTACGAGGGCTGGGAAGGGAAAGACTTCAAGGTGCTGGAGAGATGAAGCTGTGATGTAAATGGGAACACGCTCTCTGGCTCCTGGAGGGATACACGCGGATTACATGGTTCACACCCTCCCTCATCTATTTAAAACAGTGCTTCACGGCTCCTCTTCCAACCCTAAATAAAAGGACCAATATGAGCCCTAAAATCTGAGTTGATTTTTGTCATATGGAATATAATGTTACAGGTAATTATTCATCATTGATTTTCAAAGAAAAAATGCATAGTAGTGTCACACGGTGAATTGGCACTGACGATTAAGTAGATCTGAACATTTCTGTATTAATGAACCTTAAGAGACCAGTGCGGCCTTAAAAAAAATCGTTGAAACGATAGCATAACAATTAAGAAAGCAGTTTATTTTTACACAAAAGAACATCTTACACAAAAGCACATTTTAACTTTTAAAATGAAACTTAGGGAAATGGCACATCTGCAAAAACTGGCATTCTTATGATAATGATGCTCTGAGAAATGAAAATGCTTCATTTTGAAAAATACACAGGAAAAATACTATCAAATTTTAGTATTCAACATCTGTGTATAGTATCTTATGGAATGACATAAGACTGGGATAATCTTGAACTTTTTTCCCTTATAATGTTATAACCTACCCCAGACCTATTAGAATCTACTAAGTATATATTCATTCACTCATTAATTCACTCCACAAATATATACTAGTGCCAACAATGTGTCAGGTAATGAAGGACTGAATAATAAGTTCAAGGGCCCTGACTTCAAGGAGAATACACTCTAGTGAGAAAAAGATGCCTCACACAAGTATACACAAAATGTCCGAAAGCTGGAAATACTCTGAAGAAAATAAAACAAGAAAATGTGATAAGTGGTATTGAGGGGCCAAAGAGGATGGATTCATTTTGCCTTCAAACTCTATTTTCTACACCATCCACTTCCCTCAGTTTAATTTCCTAATAATCAACTGTGGGTTCTATCCTCTGTCCCAAAGTCCTAAAGAGTTCCCCACTGCCTACATAACGAAGACCATGGGCAGAAGAGAAGACAAGAATCCCTATCCCCTGGCCACAATTTACATCTACAGTCTGTATCCATAGGAACATACCACATGCTCAAAGGGTCTCTCCGTTTTGTGACACCCCGTGTTCATTCTTTAAGCTTTAAATCATTAAATCCTCTGCTTAAAATGTCCTCCCTTCTTTCAAAAGCTTGCTCAAAAATGCCCCTCCTTCAGAAGCCACTTCAATTCTCTATAATACTTCGGGCAACTGGCAGAAATGGAAATTCTCAGCTGTCGTGCAGCACTGTTTATTTTATGCATATACTGTTCTGCTTATGCATACTATGTTTATGCAGTGATTGTTCGGGGGCCAGGCCTTAGTCCAGAATAGGCATTTAATAAAGGTTTGATGATGAATAATATACTTTCCTAAAGAGTCAATATATTACATATACCCTAAAACTAAATAATACTAAATTAGAGATTTTGAATTCTGGACAGCCTGACTAAA